AATTAGAGGTTGGCATGAAGTCGATTTATTCAAATATTTCAGATTTTAATTCTCCGCTGATTTTGAAGGTGTTTTCAAAGCATTTATGAATTATTTAAAAAAAAAAAATTAAGATTAAATTTAAAAAAAAAAAAGTTTTAATGTTGGTGACCTACTCCATGAAAAGTACACAGCCCCACTATCGCCCGCTAATCTTTTAACTTCTCCCAAACTACATCAATAAAAAAAGAGGAAAAAAAAACCAAAAAAAAAAAAAAACCACCACAGCAACACCAACAAATACGCGTGTGTGCAGACGCAACACCACACATAAACAATAACGAAATATTGGAGTACTTCTGTTCCAACTAACTACAAACACACACCCACACACACATTCAGTCGCATATAGACACGCGTACACATATGTGTATATATATTTCTAGTTATATATGCATATATAACAAAAGTAAAACCATCAGCAACAATTGTTAAATACTATTACGAATAATAATACAGAAATGTGACTTGTAATGATCTGATTAATACTTGTTGAATTCCTACCTTAAAGAGAAGAGAAAATCCTGTAAGGTATTTCCAAAATTTAGACCAGTCCAAATCAGGCGCAGACCTCTCTCCAAGTAGTAGTAGTAATAGTAATACTAATCGTAGTATAAGTTGTAGTTATTGTTGTGGTGGTTGAGGTTAATTGTCGTAGTTCTTTTTCTGCAGTTTTTTCAAATAAATTTCTTTGCGTTAGTATCGTAAGCAACTGAACTTGTATTGGTTTTAGTAGAGAGAGCGGCACACGGCACAAGAGTTAGTATTGGTCGCGATAAAATTGTTGCCTGTATAGCGTCTTATTTAATAGCAGACATAGTAGGTACAACAAACGTTACTCGCAGCCACAACCGTCCTACTAGTAGTAGTAGTAATAGTAGTAGCCATGACAGTAGTAGTAGCAGTAGTATTGTTATAGTGAGGGTGCGGGTGGTGTGGGGAGAAGGAGTGGAAGCTAGAAAAAAAAAGAGGGGGTGCTTGGTGAAAGTGATGTTCCGACGAGTAATTAGTCTCCACTATTTCCCAATCTTCTCGTCTTCGACACAACTGCATCTACATATCAATCTATTTATCCTTCTCTGCGGCACCATGTGAGTTTGTATTTTTGTTTTGTTTTTAATTCTTTTTTTTTTTAATTTTTTTTTTACATTTTTTTTTTCTTTATGAGGCGGATGATAATTTAACGATCACCGCTGTACTAGACAGGCTTATTACAACGTTTTTTTTGTGTGTGATTTCAAGCGAGAGCAAGGGCGTGTTTTTGTGTGACCGTCAGCATATGTGTAATAGAGCGCATTTTAATTTTTCCCTTTCTCCGTCTCTCTTTGCTCCGAAATGAAAACTTGTGCATTGACACACACACACACACACACACACACATCTACACGAAAACTGATGCCCACGCACACGCTGTTGTTGTGCATTTTGTAAAGCCTGTATTTACATTGCGTAGCTTAAGATTCTTTTTCATTCTGTTTAATAATCGTGCCGCTTAATCAAGATTATTTACTAAGATTAGACTAGTCTGGCACATGGCCACGAATTTTTAGCACTTGTTGGAACCGAGCTGTTAGATCAACATGAAGATTGATATTTTACCATTTTACTTAGCCATATACACACTAATCCGGAAAATGGCGGGATTGAACTCAAGACACCAACGCATAATTAGAAAGACTAGCATAAAAGCATTCATATTACGGCTGATGCTCTAAATAAATAGTATTGTAGTCTGACACAAGGTCATTTTAATCGGTTAGCTCGAATATTGAAATGGGCTTCGAGACAGGAGAATAAATTACACTCTACAATGTATATATTTGTTATATTTAGTCTGGTATGAGGCTATATCTATAGGGCGCTTAGTAAGTAGCGAACTCACTGAACTAATAAATTGTGAGACGAACTCGCTTAATATTGTTCTACTTTTACCGCTTACTAATAACTTAAGCTTAGTATTAGATTGGTTTTCCACTTCCTTCTAAAGTCTTTTCCTTGTCTTTCACTTGCATCTTAGGGGCATTATCACCTTACTTCGGGGATGAACAGATAAGGATAAGTCATAGTGCTACAATTATAAGGCATCTAGCGAAAATGGAACATGCTGTTTCACTACCAATTCTTAGGCATGTGCTCATTTTAGTAATTTAGCTAAGAAAGTTAGTCAGGCAGTGTATAACATGAGCGGACACTGTGTAAGGAAAAAGGTTACACTTACGAACCGTCTGTGAGATAATCTTGCAATCAGTCGACAGTGAGCTCCGAAATGAAAACTTGTGCATTGACACACACACACACACACACACACACACACACACACACACACACACACACACACACACATTTACACGAAAACTGATGCCCACGCACACGCTGTTGTGCATTTTGTAAAGCCTGTATTTACATTGCGTAACTTAAGCTTCTTTTTCATTCTGTTTAATAATCGTGCCGCTTAATCAAGATTATTTACTAAGATTAGACTAGTCTGGCACATGGCTTTAGTTAGTCAGGCAGTGGATAACATAAACGGACACTATGTAAGGAAGAACGTTACACTTACGAACCGTCTGTGAGATAATCTTGCAACCAGTCGACAGTGAGCATTCTTAGTGCCCTGATAATATTTATTTATTTCATTCAGATGTATTTGGAACAATTCAGGATCAATATTTATATCAATATGTACAAATATCAATTTATATACGATTCCGATGTACATATAACAACTAGAAACTATTATCACTCGTGTGTGATTCTGCTTTATAAACATTCTCGCAGAATTAGAATCCATGGCTTTTATTTTCTGCGCGTCTGCTTGCTTCATTTTAAATAGAAGAATTCTAAAGCAAGTTTCACCCGTGAACATCGAGTGAATATTGAGAAAAAAAAAAAAAACAACGTTAAACCCCATTTCCTTTCGATTCAAAACGGATACCTACAAGAGAGAACATAAAGAATAATTAATAAGCACTACCATTTTAAAGTTAATTGTTTTTTTTCCTTGCTTTGGCACGGAACCTGATATTTGATTGATTCGCTTCGGCCGTTGTGTTTTCCGGCTTATTTCAGATCTCTGATTTTGATTTGTTTTTTTTTACAGATTATCAACACTAACAAATAAAAAGGATATTAAAACTTGCAAAGGTAATAAATCTAACAATTTCATTATGTATAGTATTTACTAACAGGCTAATATCCTCGTCTTTTATTGATACTATAACAATGTTTCGGCCTTTGTGTTCACCGGTTTACTTCAGGTGTCTGGTTTTGACCTTTTGTTATTTTTTTTTCTTTACAGCTTATCAACATTTGCAATAAAATATTTTTAGACTCCAAGAATTTTTTTATTGCCAATTATAATAGCTTAGTGATACACCTGATACTAATTAACCCATAGCTGGGGGAGAAAAGTGGATTCATAGTTTCCTGGTGTATTTGAGCGAAAATGAATATATCGAATCCAACTTGAACTCGGTTCTCCTATGAACATTTCTCAGCCATTATCCATTAAACCACTCCCAAAATCCAGGTTTACAGCGACTGGTATTCCACAAGCGGCCACCCTTCTAGTTATAGACCTGTATCGATGTTACTTAACTTCGGTGAAAGTGAGGGAATTGGTGTGTCAATGTGATTTAGCCTTTTGTTATTAAGAACATATTACTAGAAATAATAGAAAAATGGAACAGTAACGAGGAAATTTTTAAGGAGACAAAAAAGGATTCAGTGCAGGAGAAAGAGACTGGTGATATTTTAAGGAGACAACAAGGACACATACCGAGCAGGAGAAAAAGAAAGTTGACATTTTAGGGAGACAAAATGGACACATTTGACATTTTAGGGAGACAAAATGGACACATAAAATGTTGACATTTTAGGGAGACAAAATGGACACATACTGAGCAGGAGAAAGAGAATGTTGACATTTTAGGGAGACAAAATGGACACATACTGAGCAGGAGAAAGAGAATGTTGACATTTTAGGGAGACAAAATGGACACAGGAGAAAGAGAATACATTTTGACAAAATGGACACATACTGAGGGAAAGAGAAGAATTTTAGGGTTGACATACTGAGCAGGAGAAAGAGAATGTTGACATTTTAAAGAGACAAAAAGGGAATATACTTGCAGAAGAATGCTAATGTTGACATTTTAAGGAGACAAAAGGGATACATACTGAAAAGAAAAAAGAAACTGGTGAAATTTCAGTGACACAAAATAAGGAAAATGGTTTCAAGAATTTGTCACTAACAAGACAGGTATGAAAGACATAGGAAAACAGCAAGTAACCCTAACCCTAAAAAGCGTGTGTAAATGAATCTCAAGACAGAAAGTGGGAAGAACAATGCAAACACTGCTAAGAGATACAAAGGACAGGAAGTTGTGAAGAGCGGTGATCGCCAATATACGCAAAATAATATGCTTGCTTCA